AGGCCCCATTGGATTTGCTTGGACAAAAACAAAAGCAAGAATTATATTTTGTTGACTATTTATTTATTATTATATTTTATACCATGTTACTCAAACCCAAAATATGAGGACAACATTCTTGTAACCTATTTAGTAAAGTCTTTCGGTGACCACATATATGATATATGTTTACATCCAGAGCACTGAACTTTATGGTTCACTACTCATGGGTTATATAGTACAAGCTAGCATATCAATGTTGCAATCATAGCAATTTATATACATGGGTCCCAAAGTCTAGCACTTGCAGTCAAGTTATAAGATATAGTATAAAGAGATCACTACCATTGACATACCAAGATTCTTATAAGTTTCCCTGACCAGAAAAATGTTACAAAGTTTCATCTTGGTTCTTCAATTTTTCTTTAGATATTGAGATTTTCATGTGCTTAATTTCTTGGTGGATGCTGAATGGATCATGGATTTTCTGTTTCGGCAACTTAGCTATTTGAACACGACATGAATTTTTTGTGAGAGAAACAATGATCTTTGGTCATAAAAAATGGTTGGTTTTTTAATTTGGCTAAGAAAATATTAATTAATTTAAATGGCATTTTAAAAAAGATGAGAATCTTTCTATTAACTTCTACTATAATATAAGAATGAGGGAGTTTTAGATGATTTCACTTCAAATCCCGTCATCTTTTTTATTTTTCTTTAAACTAAATCTAATTAAGTAAAATCTAGTTATTATTAACTTCTCTTTTTTTGTTTTCTTTTTATTACCCCTCATCATGCATGTTTATAACACATTGCTTCATAGTTAAGCATTCATTTAACAGTTAACACGCTTAATAATATCCATTCAATACTCTAATTCTTAATGTCTTCTTAACACTCTGTGTCTTTCTTTTATTGCAACACCTAGCATGATTTTTTTTTTCCCTAATGCATACAATGTTTAACAATATCATAAAACATTATAGGACAAATATTAAACCAACAAGTTTCTGATCAAGTAAAAGTATAATACTGTTTCTTTTTTTTAGAAAAATTCTACGCTACTCTTATATATTTAAAGAAATTTGATTTTTTTTTTTAAATATGTAAACATTTGGTGTTTTAGAATAATTTGATTACATTTTTTTCATTTAAATTTTTCTTAAAATTCTTAATATATATATATATAATATGAAATGTAGAGATTTATTAAGGATATATTTTTATATATTATTATAAAATATTTTTTCTTAAAGCTAAAGTAGATAAGAGTTGGACAGGCTACATATTGATGAGGAATTATGAAAGAAAGAGAAGGTGGAATCAGATGCATCGAGTATGCAGTTGAATAGATGCTGAAGTGTTGGTCCAAAGTAATTGGGCCACGAAGAAGGCCCAAATATTGGGTTATAAAAATTTAAATCAGTCTAGGAAGGTGAAAAATAGTCGGTTCATGATATATACACCTCCATTTTTTTTTTACAAGTACACCTCCTTTATTTTTTTAAAAAATTATAAAATATTGTATTTTTATTTTTATTTTTTTAATTTTGCACCTTTAACTTTTAATTTTCTACTTTCTTTTTTTCACACTTTTTGTTCTCTTTCAATTTTCACATATTAACAAAATAGGTGGGATGAAAGAAAAGTAAGGGGGTACATATAAAAATAAAAAAAATAAAAAGAAAAAATGTGTGAAAAAGGTACTAAATAAAATATTGTAGGTGTAAAATTAAAAAAATTTTAAATTTTTTGTTTTAAATTTAATTACTTTTTTAAAAAAGAGGTGTACTTATAAAAAAAAAAAAAAAAGGAGATATATATATCATCAACCAAAATAGTCTAAGCAGGCCAAGGTGGGCTGAATCAATGCAACAGTAAATGAATCCAAGTGAAATTGGGAACATACGCAAACACAGTTTGTTTATATCACTTTTAAAAAAGTTACAACTTCCAATAAGCACATCTTCATTAATTAATAATAATAGATTTAAATATTATTTTAAGTACTTATATAATAAGTGAGTATTAATTTTAGTTTTTACAATTTTTTTTAATCTTTCATGCTTATAAAATTTGTAAATATTGATTTTACTCACTATAAATATGTTTTTTTTCTTTCTAAAATGAGATAATTTTGATTTTTATTCTTGTAATTTTTTTTAATCTTCATCCTCTAAAATATTTATTTTTGTAGTTTCTAACAATGATTTTAAATGATAAACAACAATTATTTTAAGAACTTGTGAAAAAAATTTAAAGTGTCACACATTAACATGATATCATTAATAATTATAAATAACACTTGAGATGATTACTTAATATTTTAATAAAAAAATAAATATTTAAAAATGATTACATAATAATAGAGATTAAAAAAATAGTTTTAAGTTTTAGATAAAAAGCTAAAAAAAAATACATGGATCAATTTTTTTTTTAATTTTATAAGGATAAAAACTTATTTAAGCTTTAATAATATATCTCCAACCTTTATTTATTTATTTTTTAACACCTATTTTTGGAAGTATTTTTTGATGAAAAACATATACTTCCAAAAAGTATTTTGTTGGCTTTTGAAAATTTTGCAAAATTCGAGTAAGTCGAGTTTTAGAAAGGTGACTTATAAAATACAAGTGTGTTTATAAATACAATTTCTGAATTTATACTTTTTTGTAGTTAAAAATTAGAAGACGTGTTTCATAAACACAATTTATTTTTTTAAGAAAAATTTTCAAAAAAAAATTGTACTCGTATATTTATTCACGGATTTTTTTATTTTTCAAAAAAAAAGTATATTAAGCTGTGTTTCAATTGTTGACTTTAATTTTTTTATATATAAAAATTGAAGTCGTGTTTCAATTAATTAATATGACTTTTAATATTTTCCTTTTTATATATAGCAAAGTCGTGTTTTAAGTAATGACTTATTTTTAAAAAAGAAAATTAGGGGAAGTCGTTGTATATATAAACGCGACTTTACTTTGAAGTCATGTTTATATACACGACTTTCATGTATATTAAAATTAATTTATAATAATTGGTTTTTTTTTATTCACAAGTCTTTTTAATTTTTTGAATTTGTATGTGTTTAATGACAAATTAAATTATTTAATGTTTTTTAGTATTAATATTATGGTATTTATATTATAATTAATATTCGTTATTAATATAATATTCATCATTAATATTATGTCGTGTAGTATTATACATGAATTAAAAATTATTTAAAAATTTTACTTGAAAAAAAAAAAAAAAAAAGATGTGATCATGTTTCAACATGTTCAAAGCAGAACACGCACAAATCAACATCCACTTCAATAATTACATTTCTGTTTCTGAGATCTTCTTTTGTCGGCAACATGTCCTTCATAACCTTCCATATAAAATGAGACTCTTTTTAGGGATATATATTCTCCACATAAAAGATTATAGGCTTTTCATATAATTGTTCATTCCAATCCTTGTTCTTAGCCTTGACGGATTCCCATTCTTATAACTCTTAACATCGACGATGCTCAACTAGCCCCAATGTGACACCCAACTTCATATCAGAATATGTACCTCTTTCATAAAACATGAAATACTATTCATAGTTACCTAACAACAATTTTTACAATTCAATTGCTAAAAATGTTCTAAAAATCATATCATTCTTGTTAAAGACACCAAACATACTCATATTATTTCCTTATATAATAACCAATATATTCCCTTAAGTTTCTCATAAGAATATATGAATAATCCAAAATTCATATAATTAACTCAAAAAACAAAATTTTCCTCATACATATGCATATTAACACCAATTATAATATTAAAGAATCATGAGAAAGACAGAAAATCAAAATAAACACAAATTTGAGGAATTCCCTTTCATATACACACATGCAACAAAAGGAATTGGGATCTCACTACTCAACATTCATTTCACATCTAGAGCGAAATTATTCACTCTCTTCTTACATTAGTAAACACTTAACGATGGTCGTGAATCTTCAAGGTGATCTCTCACAAGCTCTAATTCTCTCAATTTTTCAAAGTACAAGTGCACGGTGAACAAAATATGAGAAGTATAAAATGAAAAACTAACTTAATTCTCTCTTAAAAAACTTAACTTCTCACTAACCCAACAGTTAAAACAATTAACTCTAATTACAAAATCTTTCCCTCCATATTAAAATAATATGCATCATTTAATTATAAAACCGCATAATATATTTATATATATATAAAATAGTTAAAAAAATTATTAATACTAACTCAAATAATTATAAAAATAAATATTAAATAAAAAAATATATTAATAGAAAATTTAAGGTGTTACATAAAGAATATTTGTATCTTTTTAAAATATAGTAAAACTTGATTAGATTGATTAAGAGCGAGATATAATATCAATAATTGAGACGAATCAATACAAAAATATTATGTGTTCTTCTCATTTAACTTTTTATCTATACTCATAATGCTTTGTAGCTACTTCACTATATTTATAAAAGTGTTAAATTTTTTATTAACACTATTTAACATCTTCTTCTAGTATCTTTTTTATCCACAACATAATAATATGAGAGAGTCACGTTTTTAAGAGATTCATTCAAAATAAAACCACATGTTACAGTGGGTCAAATTTGAAGCAACATAAAATCCTACTTTTATATCAATTTTAATTTAAATCAATTTATATAATTTGAACTTTTTTAATCAGCATATTAATTAGTACCATTTAAAATAATTACTTTAAATTACAAAAAAAATGTTACCACTATATTGATTGTTGCATTAGTGATTAAATTATTAAATAGTCTTATATCATACCATCACATGTAATAAATATATTTTTAAATAGTGCTATAATCAATTTTTTTTTCCATAAATTAAATATTTTAAATACATATTATATAAAATATTGATCGAGACATAATGATCCAAACAATTTAATAATTCTTCCAGCAACTTATTACCAAAATGATTTTGTTTTTGTTGGGCACATAAGGATCAGATAGAAAGTGAAGAGGCGGTAAAAAGTGTAGTCAACTTAATACAAATGATATGATTACTCATAATTACAAGTTTAGACATTTACACTAAGGCTAACTAATAATCATCATCATCATCCTCTTGGTAATGCAGAGAGATAGATTGATGTCCTTTCAGTCATGAGAACAAGCTAGGGTATAAAGAAAGCAGAAAAGACACTAATGAGGCAGACAATAAAGCAAGCCCGTGATAATAATAGTGATAAAGTGAAGGCATGCATGCATATATGCATGCCACAAACTAATTAATTAATTAATAATAAGCTAGTATGACCACAAGGATTGGCCCATGTTGTTGGCCTGATCAACGACCATGTCCATGCCAAAAAGGGACTTGGTATTCGAAGTCAAGAGCCTGCTTGATTCGTACAAGTTCTCTGAGGATGAATTGGAGGCTTCATGAGGCACTGATGAGGGTTGTTGTTGTTGTTGTTGATCTGATGATGGTGTTGAGTATTGGCGCATTCTCATGTGCACAACCTCTGCTTGTGCAAGTGCCAATTGGGTTTGGAGCACATCAACTTGTTGCTGAAGAGAGGATATGGCTCCCACACATCCATACACAGGGTCCCTCACTCTTGCATTTGCTTCATATACCATCGAACTAACAGCATCACTTCTTTGGTGTTCAGGTAATTCCTGCATGCCAATTTGATATAAATTTTTTTTTTTTTAAAAATATCAGCCATAAGAACTATATATAATTATATAAAGTGACATCTACTACATTAAAAAAAATGATTTATATTAACAGATATTTTGTTCTTACAAACACGATAATTGTAAATAAAACTAAAATTTACTTCTACAATTTTACATATAAATGTTTAGTATAAGTAAAACTCAAATATTTATATTTATAATTGTTTGTTATAGATGAAATTTAAATAGTTATTACTATATAACTTATATAATAGACAAATAGATCATCCGTAAGTTAACATAAAATAAATATTTATTTACATATTTTTAACTTTTAGTGATAATTTTTATCATTTATATATTACAAGTCAAATTTAATTTCTTGCGGTAAGATGATAATGCGTGACATGATATAGTAAATGGGTGTCTTAAGTGACTTTTAGGATAATGATTGTTTGCTCATAGTGAGTGAGGTTCGACCATTCAGCAAAAGGAAAAAAAAAAAAAAAAGTTATATATGTGGCTTGCATGAATGTGTCCGCATGTAAATGTTATACAATTAAAGGGAAGAAAACCTTTACCGAAACCGATCACTAGGAAAACAATTATAAAACTGATCTTAAACAGGAGGCCATACGCTAGTGAATTTTTGACCATGATGCATATAGACTAGCTTTTTGAATTTGTGGTGATCGAGGGCTATGATGTAAATCAAAGGGGTTGTTTGGATGTAAACTGATCCTATGCTTAGTCAAAAAGGGGATGATATGGTGCACGTTGAAGTTGGTTACTTTGGAGGGAATTAGAAAAATATAGTATAGTTGACTATAGAGACTATGCTTATAGTATTAGAATTATAACACTTTGAAATACAATATACATCTCAATAAGTCATTGAAATCCTTGATTCCAAATTTTCGCCCAAAAAAAAATGAATGTTTTTCTTGGTATTGTATACTAGAATTTAGAGCAATTAATTAAAGAGTAATAATATTGAGCTTTTCACTTTAAAATTGTGCAATCTTATTGGTAACAAAAAATTAATGGATATTCAAGATTGATTAACTATACATCTTAATGGGTTCTACTGTTACATCATTATTTAAATAAACACCAAGAAGACATCCATGTCCAGGCTTGGAACCATATTTATCATGGTTAATCAGCTAATATATGTGATTGCTAGCAAAGAAGAAGAAGAAGCCAATATGTCATCAAGGTATCATGCTTACAAAATAATGATTTTTTAAAAAAATATTAATTTATATATTCGAAGGATGAAACATCTTTATCTGGGGAATCAACGTCACTTTTGGACATATTAATGTGTCTCTATCAATGTAACCCTGATTTTAAAGACAAAAGGAAAAGTTGAGCATACTAAAACTTTCTTTTTTCCTGAATTATCATTGCCCAAGGAGTCCAATACCAAAAGCCAAGCCCAAGCGGTGGTCATAAAGAGAGATGTTGAACAAATTGGGATACATATAACCACCAGTAATGATGAGATTAACATCTTTTTTACTTTATCCTCTTCACACTGAGTGTGGCTTCAAGTAGTAAAGCTAATTTATATACATCTGATCCTTTGTCCTCTTTATATGGGCTAAGGAATCATATAGGGTAATACTAGTAGTCTAGTACAGTAGTACCTTACTTTAACAAAGAATTAAAGAAAATTATATTACAGTTATATAATTAAAAGTGTGGATAGTAGGGCCTGTTTCAACTGTAATTAACCACTATAACGGAAGTAAATATCGGAGGAAACAAAAGAAAGGTATCCTTTTCACTTTTCTTGGACAACTACTTTTAATTTAAGAAATAGAATATTTAATATGATAGATTAATATAGGGAGGTCACAAATTTACCTGAAGTTGTGTTAGTATATGGTTTCAAGATATTCTTGATAATAGCAGTTAGGGGGTGGAATAAGATTTTTTTAAGTATACTTAACCACAATTTTTTTTTATTAATTTGGATAAATTTTACTCTTAAAATTAGACTTAATATAATTTTTAAGAATAGATTTGAATTATGTTTCGCATCATTTCAATTTATCATTCATTCTTTTAAGATATATAAATTCTTAAAGTAATTATATTATACTTTGTATATCATTATATTATGTTTATAATATAATGACAATTTATTTTAAAATATATATTGTAAGATATATCTTAATGTAAGTTTTATATTTCTCTTATTTCATATATTTTATATTGACCAGATTCATTCTCATATATTTTGAGTCTTAATCATATAGGATTTGAATTTAAATAGATAATTTGATGAACTTTTAAGTCTAACGACAAGATAAGCATATTCCAATTTGTTTCACCCCTAATAGAATTTAAAATAAGATATCTCAGGTCCTAGGGTTTGTTTCAGATCTCAAAACGAAATTATATTCCAAGTTAATCAATCACTTTCGTACACCTAATAGTTAAAAGGGCTATATATAATTGGTTCTTCGAGTTCAAAGTTTGAATGCAGTTTCATAGCTTACAAAACAAGTTTAAAATTCTTTAAGATATACTAGTTATGCAAATTCAGGTTATTTTGTTGCTCATTTTAATTTTACCAATAAGTTTTGTTTAATACTGATCATTTTAAATTAGCTTTTAACTATCTACACATAAATATAGCTAGTTTTTAAGTAATCTACTTTTAGAATTCATCTAGGAAAAAGTAGTATGCTTGTTAACAATTGAATGATAATGAATGATATCTACAATTAATCAATTATGTATTACCGATTACCCAATGATTTTTTTTCTCTCTTTCAGAAAAATCATATTGTATTGCAGCGTGGCTATTGCACAACTTGTGCCTTAGTTTTTCTTTTTATGCTATTGATTTATTTGTCTATCAAAAAAATATTGAAGGATAAAGAATGGAAAAATGATAAAGAAAGAGGGAAAAATTTAAAATAGTATATTTGAATATTTCTCTAAGGATTAGGTGTTATTTGAAAATTTTTATCCACAAAAAATAATTTTTATAAATTTTAGTAATTACCAAACACCTTATGTATATTTAAAAGCTAAACCGATTACACATGTCTATCTGATTTTTAAATGTTTCCAACCATACCTTTAAATTAAAGCTATCTCCTAATAAGTTGAAGGGAAGGGGGGGGGGTGGTATATAAATTGTTCATACTTTAGATATGTTAGATAGAAAAGGATTAGTTATATGTTTAATTCTTGTGATGCAGATTGAATTAACCGTTAGAGAAGAAATTAGCAACATCCTTGTTTGTTTTTTTTTTTTTCCCAATTCTCTTAAAACATTATGATTCTCCCGTAGATATATGCTCACGTTTTAAAATTTTTGCTAGGTATTTCACAGTTTTATTTTGTTTTTACCTTTTTGCCATCATGTTATTTACAGTAAATTTATCAAATATGTAGATGACTAATTTTGAGTCTCCCCAACTACTTTCAAATAAAAGCAGTTCACAGTTTTAAATTGTCACTCTGTTACAATTACCAATATTAAATGAAATTACAGATAAATTAATGTGACTTAGTGCAGCCGCCAGTATTATTGTAAACCCCTAAACCGTTCCTTTTTTTTATCAGCAAAGAAAGGAATTTATATATAAAAAAAGCATCTACATAATAATTCTTGTTAACATTCAATGTACGTAGCAAAAGTTGAATCGGTCCTAAAAAAGCATTCCACAACCGTATTTTCATGAAAACGACAGAAATTTCATGCGTGGATACGATGATAGAGATAGGAGAGGTGCATAAGAATTCGTAGTACCTGTAACATTTTGTTCACATTGCTAGCCCCGAAAACCTTGTGAACACTACCAAATTTCTGGGGTTCATCAACAGGAAAATAAGGAGCAAACACGCAATCCCTCGTGCATCTCCTTCTTAGAAGCTTGCATGCAGCACATGGCGACATTGTACCTTGTTTTCTACCACTCTCCTTCATGTTCTTCCAAGTTGAAGAACAAGGCAATGTACTAAGCCCTTTGAGCTATAAGATTAACCTAACCCTAATCCTCAAACAAAATAATATTGGAGGCTAACTAGGTCTTAACAATGTGGCAAAAGGGATGAAAATGATGAAAGAAAAAAAAGAAGTTGAGAGGGGATCGGAAGGTGGACTTAAGGAGGGGGAATGGAGATGATGTTATATAGAGACGTTATGTGACAGCAAATCTTTTGTGGGACCACAAAAGAAGAGGCTATAGATTGTGCTGGACAAAATGATCCATTTTGATAAGATCTTTGCCCCCACCTTGAAAAATATATTTTGTCTCACTATTTTATTTTACTTTCTTTTTTTTTTTCTAAGGAGCTCTCGTAAGCTTTGGTGGCTTCGCCATTTGAAAGTTATTGGTTATTGATTAATAGGGTTGGGTTCAAAACATGAAGTGGTCTACTACTTCCTTGTGCTTGCAAACAAAAATTGTTGATAAGGCATGTAATGTTAACAGGGTTGTTGTTCTCTTCACAGTCAAGTACAATATTGGTCAGTGTTTCTACCTGGTCTTGTGTGTTGTGCTTTTTCTTTTTGATCCAAAAGTGCATATGGAGTTTTCCTTTTCTTCAATTCGATTCTGGGAGCTTTACAAGGTGAACAATGCTAGAACAGGTCAGTTTGTACGGGTATTGAAGAACTTGATAAGAAATAAATTAAAGGCAAAAGTTTAAGCTCCCACTATTTTAGATGCCAAAGATTTCAGAATAAACATGCTAAACCAAAATGTTATTAAGTTTAATTCACTACAAGAAATATTACATAAAGCGACATATAAAAAGTTTATTATAAGTATAATATATGTAGAGATATATCTATTTGACATATAATTACACACAATTTAAGTATTAATTTTAAATGAGATTTAACAACATATGTTATGTGTCACAATAATCTATACGCACACTTGTTAACAATGTACACATATTATATTTATTGTGTGAATAAAAATAGCTTTATAGTTATTATAAGATATATGTTATTATATGATAATTTTTTTGTAGAATTTTTTTTAATTTGTTCTCTTAATTTTAAAAATTTTCAATTTGGCTCCTTAAAATGTCTTTGTTAGCCTAAATTGGTCTTTCCATTAACTTATCGCATTAATTTGGTCAATTTGATGACTAATGATAAACTATGAACACTATAAAAAAATTATCATGTAGTTATACACATTTTTATAGTGATACAATATTTGTTATTTAAAATTATTTTTACATATATAAATATAATATATATTAGTATATTGTTAAAAAATATTGGTATAAGTTATAAAGACATATAACATATATTATTGAATCTCATTCAAAAACAATTCTTAAATTATGTGTGGTTATATGTCAAATAAATTTATATTTACATATATTGTACCTAAAAAGTATGTTATTATATGTAATATTTCTTATTATAAATAATGTAAAATCAGCAAAAATTATTAACGTACATTAGTGCAAATATTGACAAAAGGATCAATTTGACTAGTAAAACACTTCAAGAGATCAAAGTAAAGTTTTTTCACAAAAAAAAAGACTAAAATTATAGGCAAATAATTATCATTTAACATAATGTGAATCCAACTTGACAATGATATAAATGTCACTTTTAATTGATTGCTATACCACTTATAAATACTTCAGAATTTGTAATCATTTTATGATATTTTTTTAGAGAGATGATTATGTTTGACTTGGATAAGACCAAAAGTTATTCTTTTTAGTATTTAATATACTTACATATTTAAAAATTAAAAATTAAATTAAAAATTATTGATTATAATGTGAATTTGAGCTTATTCAACCAAACAAATTGGCTTGTAAGTTGAGGAATATTCTCACTTGTATTTTTTATTTTGGTTTTATTATTAATCAATGTGAAATTTGGGTCTTTCACTCTTATGCCCATCACTATTGAGTTTAGTATGTAAATAAATGACAATGACACTTTTTGATGGATATAAGATAGACTCATGTGACTTGGTTTTTCTCACAATACTCCTTCATACCCAACAATATTAAACCTTTTTTTATGAGCAAAATCAAATTAATTAGAGTACTATTGGACTTTTTCGTTTTTGATCAACAAAAAAACAAATAGAGGAATTTATTAATAGGTACAAGGGGTATCATTCCCATTTACAAGTGAGCAAAATGTTTGAACTTAAGTAAATGGAAATTATGAACTAAGTTTTCCAACACATAAAATTGAAGACATACTAATACCTATACCACTATGATAAACACCGCCCAACAATGTTTTGTATGCATTATAGATTATAAACTCCATAAATGGCATATTAAAGATTGCAACCCATAAAGTTAATCTCCCCAAAACATATTATATATACTAGAGTACTTAGTCCTAACCATTACTTTAAGAAGAATTTTGTTTCAGATTATTCATATGATCAATCCCCACATCACAGCCTTCTAACAACTATACTTGTAGCACCTTCTATGAGCAATTATGATCTATTTTATCTACATTGACCATGTATTTGTCTACCATATGAAGTTGTTAACTATTTACAAGAACTTTGCATTTTTCTTGTACACTTCTCTTGCCAATGTGGCAATATGTTAATCTGTCTCTTACAAATCCACTTGTTAGGTCAAAAGGCAATCTTAGATCTCTCAAGTTTTTAAATTTTAATGATAACAAATAGAATATTTTTTTAAAGGAAATTTTTTTTGCAAAACACAAATCAGATAAAGCATAAGATGCAAACCATTACATAGATAATGTATCATCAGATGAAGCATACAATCTTACTTTATAAAGTTATAAATATGTATCATTTATTAGGAGTAATGATTACTTGGTGTATGACTAATCGATTCCTTAACAAATCAAACAAAAAAAGCTTGTTGGAACTCATAAATATGTTAAAGTGAATGGAATCATGTTGTGCACAAGAAACAAGGACAAGCAAATCCATAAAATCAATGAGAAAGTTAGTAAAAGTTGATATAGAACCTTCTTTTCGTTGACACATGCAACAAAAGTATGTTTGGTATCTTAAAGTTGATATGTAGTCTCCTTGATCATATAAAAAGTAACAATTTCGTAAAATGTAATTAATATAAGCATTTAATGTTTCAACGGACACTTGTCATCTCAAGGAACTCGTAACAAAGATTAGCGAAACAAGCTTGCGAGGAACCGTCAAGATTTTGCAACAGTCATCTTCATTCGAGCTTTAAGATCAAAAAGAAGTTGTTGTTGGATGAAAAGAGAACTCTTGTACAAATCATTATTCATTCATTCTTTACGTAAATATATTGTTCTTAATTGGTTGTATCACGTCTTGTCTATAAGACGAAACAATATTTGTAAAAATTTTACCCAAATATAACTATTGTTATAGGGTCAAGATTGGAGAGACTTATCTATTAAAAGAATACTTTTTTGAGCCTGAAGAGATTTGTCAGTAAAAGAATATTTGATTGAGCTTAGAGAGACTTGTTTGTAAAAGAATACTCGTTTGAGTCTAGAGAGGGTTGATTGCAAAAAATACTTGGTATTGAATCCTAGAGAGGGTTTGTGTTGAAAGAATATTTGGGTATATTGCTTGAAGATGCAATTCAAAGATCATTTAGGTTTGAGCCAATAGTGGCTTGTTAAAAGAATACTTTTATCTTTCCTAAGATAGTGAAACTCAATTTAGTTAGATTGAGAACTGAACATAGTCTCAATAATTATGACAAACCAATATAAAAATTACTATGTATTTTGTATCTTTCATACACTCTTTGTTGTTAGTATTACTACTTCACTACTAAAAAAAGTACGAGTTTTTGATAGATATTATTCAACCCCTTTTTAGTGTTTGTCTTTTTTTAACACCACTACTCCCCTCAAAACAAATAATATGTAACATATCATATGAAAGATATAAATACTGAGAAATGCAAGCACTTGAGTTTATAGACCATTGATCAAACCTAAATTGGAATTGTCGTTTGTTGATGCATAACCATGACCATGTTGTGTAAGCAATGTGTTTTAGAAGTTTCTCCTTGTCAAAAATTACACCTTTGGATACACACTTATTTCTACACTACCACCCCATACAACTATAATCCAAACCACCTACCATCTTTCCCTTTTTCCTTTGAGTGCATGGGACAACAATATGGCACTTAACTAAAATATTGTTCTACACTTGCAAATAATACAATTGTGATCAACACCCATGAGCGTAACATTCCTTCCATAGCCAATATATTTCCCTGCATTAAAAAATATGCAGTCTAAAGATTCTTTACCCATATGGAAAAATGGGCATAGACTGCTTGTAATCTCCAATGATACATTCATTCTCAATAGATTATCCATAGTTGGTATTCCATTATGATACATCCTACATAATAGAACTGAAGCCTTGGAGGGCACCTTCAACTTCCAAATGTGGGACATAAATTTATCACTTAACATCCAAATTTCAACATGAGTAGTATTGTATATGTTAACTTAACTATGTATTTCATAGATGCTCCAATAGGCCATGACCAGTTGTCCTGACCATCTTTTCATAATTTAACATTCAATAGTTTTTTATGTAGAGTTTCCCACATGCTTATTTCTCTTTCAAACCAAAACATTCTCCATTGAAGATCTCATCTCCATTATTCCCCTTTCCATTTTCCCATGCTAGTAATTTTCTCTTGCTATTGTGTACAGTGTTCAAAAAAAGTCTTGGAAAGATATTTCTCTTGTTGTTGTGTAATACTATTGGACTTATTATGGCATATAAATGGTAGATGACCCTTCTTAATGTATCTAAGATAGTTGTGATATCATCTTAAAATGTAAGTTTAAGTATAAATTAATCATACAAAACCGGTTTGTAAGGTAAAAATTACTCTCACTTATGAAAAATAGGATGAACATGAGTTGAATTGAACCATATTTAAGACATATTATCATTTGAACCAATCAAATTTAATTGATTTGGTTTCTTCATATTTTAGTCAACACAAATCACACCAAATCATATTAAAATTGATTCAGATCAAGTGTGAATTTATTATTAAAATAAAAAAAATTAAAATATTGAAAAAATTGGAAATTCCATTAGACAAGTTGTGAAATACATTTTCATTTCACTATATAAACACTTAACAAGAGTTTGAC